TCATATTTACGGATATTTGTCTGTGTTTATATAAGCCTGTTCTTTATCCGACAAAACATGTTCGATATAATATCTGTAATATCGCTGCCTTAACAACCCCGTTGCTATCGCAAGCTTTGACACTAATATCTATTAGTTGTCGGATCGAACACTGCAATGAATGTAATAAAGACATATGATTAAACCTCTTATTATTATTGCGAATAAAATAATTGTGTATAATCAGTTCCAGAGTATTTTTCGAACTTTCATATTTAAGATTCAACAATCTGAACACACACATGTGTCTAATTTTGCTATATTTTCTTCTCGCAATCAGGTTCGTTGCATTTATCAGGGTAAGTTCAAGAGTAAAAAAACTCCCATACAAACTTGATGTTTTGTGCAAGTATTTATAATGAGATTTATTTACTTATTTATTTATTTTGTTGTATGTAATTTTTCTCGAATTCAACGCACTTTCTCTTTTTTTAGTCAGGATACTCTGTCAAGAATAGAATAATCCTAATTCTTGGCCGTTTTTATATATTTAAAGCACAAATCAAAAACACAAATTTGAGTAATATCAATATTCCTTATTAGTGAGGATATTATTGCAATTTATATGTGTGAGAAGTTTGTGTTGAAATCTGAAAAGAAACTAGAGAGATACACAATGTGTAAGCTTGATCTTTTTTTATCCTCGACATAACTGTGCGTGTATAAAAATCCTTGTATTTTCTTTTAAGCTTGTCCTCGCTTCTTCATAAATGGCATTAGTTTCTGTGTTATTCCAACCCCTTGCCCAAACCTTTGTAATTGTTGGTTGGCCCAGAAATTTGTGTTATCTCTTCTCGACATTCACGCCTCTTTTCACGACTGACGATAGGTCTGCTTGCAGGGGAATCGACATATTTGTGACTGTTGAGACTTGACTGAGATGATGATGGCGGGGCCGATCGCGGGGCTAAACACTTCTTCACAGTGACGATCAACCTCTGACCGCTGAAACCTCGCACCGCTTGATTACCGAGTCGATTGTCGTGTGCGAATAGATGAAAACAACCACCATCGCCATCCCGTGCCTGCCACACCACGCATGCATATACACCCTGCCCGCATATTCCTCGCCCCCGCAAAATTCTTCTTGGTACTCACACGCTGATGCTTCACGAAAAAGAATTCCGTTATCATTAGAATTAATTAATTAATTTAACATATTGTCATCGTACGCGTGTATCGCCGCGTTGTGCGCATCAGTATACGGCTTTTGTATAAAAGAAATAAAGCGCCGGTTTTAACTAACTCCACTCTCAGAAAGATTTATATAATGAATGATCTATTAAGTAGCGATTATATAAATAAATAAATTTTTGTATATACGAAGACAGAGATATATTTATAAATTAATATTATTCAAGCCGCAAGTATTATTCGCTCGAATTGAAGTCGAACTTCAAGCCCAGTGGTCGCTGCAGCAAGTAGATTAATTCTTTGATAAAGTAGATTTATTTTTTGCATTAATTCTATATCGTGGTTGTGCCAATATGTAATATTTATCAAAATTGTAGAAATTATAGAAGTCGTTTTAAAAAATTTTATATTGTGTGGAGAGTTTTAAAAAGGGAAAACTTTAAAAGCTTATTTCGTTTCTTTTTTTTTTTTTTTTTTACACGGAAAGGCGCTTGGTTTCTTCTGTGGAAAAGCTATCTACATTAGTATTAGCTAGAAATCTTTTTATAAAAACGAATATTCAGCAACATTTTTCTTTCAGTCTCGCGCGGCAAACACGTCTTATTGTCAAGCGAGAATCGTGAGAATAAATATACCAAACTTGGTCTTTTAAACAAAATTAGTATATTGCACTGATAAACAGTGATTTTCATTAATTTTGTTGAAAAGAGTAAAATTGACGCGCTATCAATCCCGCATAGCGAAATAATCCGCATAAATGAGATATAAATCGAGTTTATCTTTTTCATTTTTCCTATTTATTTATTCTCCAAGGGGGCAACAATAACGATATTCGCGTTTTGGGCGAATAATTTATTTATTTACTTTTTCTCCGACGTGTTTTATTCGTATAATATACGACGTGTTTTATTCGTATAATATACGTACGCGTTTTTTTTTTTTTCTTTTAGAGTCTCTTCGACGTGTTGGACGATTCATTTCGATGACATAGACGTTCGATTTATCGCACATTATGTATTCACGCGCTGATATTATTATTACTTTAAGTTTATCTATTTTTTTGTTATCAACGAAACTCGTCGTCAAATTTGTATAATATTTCCATCTTTTCTTATAGATAAAGCAAAATGTCCCCACCCTTAATAACAATTGTTTAATAAAAGTAAATGCTACGATTCATTTGTACAATAATTGTCTATAGTGATCATCTGTTCTTAATTTAATCGCATTGAAGTAATAAGAAAAAAGAAAATACGATGACTGATTGTTAATTTACGCAATTGGTGTTTAGCATCGAAATACAATTGTTTCTGCGAAAAAAGAATTTTGTTATATATTATTATTATTAGTAGTAATTGGATCTTTTATGTATTTTTTATTTATGACCATATATATATTGTATCAGGGTTTTTAATACTCTACTCCAATCTTTGTTTTTTGTATTATTATGCCATTATTTAGGAGGATTAACAACGAGAAAGATAAAAATATAGCATTGTATGCGTTGAAAAACACATTACAAGAGAATAGATACGTAAGATTCATCTTATAGTTGAAATTACAATAAACGATTTTTACGTTAGATCGGTTACGATAAGATGGTAGCAATAAATAAATAAATGTCGCGTTTGATTTATTTCTATACATTTAATAATTAATCGAAAAGAGGAAAAAAAGAATATTTTTTGCTGTAGTAGAATAAACCTATATCTCGCATATATTTTTCGCAATAGAAGTTTAAGTTTGTTGTTAACGAGAGTACATCCTATCCCCGACACGTCTAGATACGTTTTTGTGACCTCATCAATAATCTGCTTTTTACAAAGTAGAAACAAAGCACACACACACACACACACACACACACACACACATATAATATTTTTCGTTTAAGTTTGTTGTTAACGAGAGTACATCCTATCCCCGACACGTCTAGATACGTTTTTGTGACCTCATCAATAATCTGCTTAATCTGCTTTAGAAACAAAGCACACACACACACACACACACACACACACACACACACACACACACACACACACACACACACACACACACACACACACACACACACACACACACACACACACACACACACACACACACACACACACACACACACACACACACACACACACACACACACACACACACACACACACACACACACACACACACACACACACACACACATATATATATATATATATATATATATATATATATGTGTGTGTAAGTGCACGAGCGTATATGCATGCATGCAGATACGTGTGCCATCGCATCCCGCCGACATTTTGCCTGCATCGCTCGCGGCGAGGTGCGCTACCCCTTCTTCTTCAACTTGGCATTCTACTTGGTTGATGGCATCATTTATCGCAAGAAAAATAATGAGATTAGGATAATCTACCACCGCGGGCGCTCTCGCGCGCGTTTTGCAAAATTTACCTTCT